ATTGGATATATCTTCCACAGCAGAATTATAGGCATACGTGATAGAGAACAAGTGGCGAAACATGTTGTGATACAAACTCTACCTGTTACGTGCTTATGTGCAATGCTGCAACACCAATAGGAAGGGATCAGTGTGATGTCAAAATGCATGGTTTGTCATTTTGGCACCCTATTTAGACATGGGCACCCCTGAACAAAACGCATCTTGCAGTATGTCAGAATAGGGCCAAGAATACACTTTTAATTTATCACTCATACATTTTGTGATGGATTCCTCTGAATATAAGTTGTCATACAACAAGAGAAAGTTCGTAGTCCTCGTTGTTGGTGGGGTAATCCCACTCCACAAATTGTAGAGAACCCTCCATGAATATAGGGATTTAATTGTGGTTGAAAAGAAGAAAGTGTAGGTAATTGATATGGCAATACCAGGCAATAGTAGAATAGAACATAAAGAATTGGAGAAGATCAGAAAGTATCAAGGTCTGAAAATTGAAGTTGAAAGATTATGGCATAAATTGCCATGGTGGTCCCAGTGCTTAGTAACAAACTGGTTAGTTTGGAAGATGTCTTTTGAAAGTGTCTAAATGTTATTACTTTTACTATTTTTTTGGTAATTTTTTTATTTTTTAATATAATAATTCCATCTTCACTTGAACAGTGTGTTGTCCGGGTACAAATATCTTTGTAGAATAATAATCAAAATTTACAGCATTATTCATTACATTAGTATTAATTCTACAATATTAAAATAATAATATTAAACATACTAATCATAATATTTGCTTGTCTCTCTTAACGTATCTTCTTTATTTTGTTTCCCTGTTTCTAACCTCCATTTTTATTATTTAACCATTGATAAAATAAACCCCATGTCATATAGTATTCAGTTTGCTCTTTCTCCTTAATTGCAAGCGTTAGTCTATTTTTGGGTAAAATCCCCAACAGAAATATTTCTGGCTTTAAATCAATATGCTGCTTTATCATTTTTTCCAGCCACATAACTATTTTTGTCCAGTATTTATTTTTTATTTTTTGCTTTTGGGCAAGTCCACCACATGTGATAATATGACCCTGTTATCTGGGGGACTTTTACTACTTTTTTAAAACTACTTTTATTACTAACCTTTATTACTTTTACAAATAATTCAAGGTAGTGAACTAATCTAATCCTTTTTCCTCCTCTGTTTTCTCCACAACAGTCCAGAGTTTGGCTAAAAGAAGATATGCTCAAGATTACCCACTTGGCTTTGGTGGCTAAGGTGGGACTTGAACTCAGAGTCTCTTGCTTTCTAGTCTGATGCCTTAACCACCAGACTTTTCATACAATTGAGAATCTGAAGGAGATGTGAAGGCTATAGCCTTTGCCCTAACCTAGATGGCTAGTTTATGTACTGGGGTTCTTAAAATAGAAGCATGCTTGATACATTAGCCCCCCATGGAGCTGATTTTTAAGAAAAGTTGAAATATTTTTTTTTATATTATGAATAATAGCATTCCACTAGCACTGTTTATTTAAACCAATTTATATAACTACCCCTTCTCACAAACAAGCAACTCTGGGCAACCTACAATAGAGCTAAAACAGTTAGCAACTACATTAAAAAGTATAAACACCAAAACAAAACAAAGAATAATAGATGAAGGGATGTTAAAAATAGCAGACACTAAAAGACCTGTTGACATTCTTGATGGATGGAAGGGTCCTGGGTTATGACGTCCACATGCAAAAGGAAAAGAACAGCGCAGGTACCCATGGTGGCAAAACTCCAGATTTTTGTAGCTGATTGATGAGAAGTTGTAATAAAAGGGTTCTAAGAATGCACTGTTTTTTCTTTGAAGCACGGATGCCACTTC